CCCCCCCCAAAAAAAGGGATTTTTCCGAAGTCCAATTGCAGCCATTTTTCAAGTGGCAACCCTCAACTTTCTCGGGCACTTACGACCATTTTTCAACCGTAGTTTTTAGCCAGGGAGTTCATCCTGGCAACGGTTTACATAATCTCACCATTTTGGGGGTCAAACAATCTCCTTTTTCAAAAGATGCTGTGGGGGCACTTTTAATGCTAATGAGCTGGCCAGAAATTCTCACTTGAATTAGTGGTCTGTACCCTTCATATTTGTGCCTAAGTTAATGACCTGGTCTTGAGCATTTGCAACAAACTGTTACTAGAAAGCTAACATCCAGCTCTCCTCCAGGTGTTTTTGGACCTGTTTGTCTTTTGACAGGAGTAAGGTGCAATGACAGCCTATTATGTCACTTATTCAGAGTGGAGTGTTGACGTTTTAGATACCCAGTGTCCAAGTCCATATTCCAGCTTTTGCCATGCCTTCACTTGTAGTCTGTAAACCTTTGCATATATGCTGTTCAATTTTAGGCCAAGTTTACCGCACCAAGTTTGTTCAACCTGTACCAGTCGATGACCAATTTTGCACTTTGAGCAAACTCAGTAAATTGATGAAATCTTCCCCTGTCCTACTTTTCCCAAAAGGTCAATGTACATGGATGGATGTGATGATATTGTGAGTCTTGTTCGAGTATTGTATCTTCAGAAAAAATAAATTAATTTTAGACATTCATGTTGTGACTCCTAGAACATTATAAAAAGACATCGTAGAAAGTGAAAACAAAATGCCTTGGAAACAAAGAAAGGGGAGGGGAGTTAATTCTTAAAAGGAACTTAACATAAAATCTGGGATAGTGGATTAATATACAGTGTACTAGTTAACTAAGTTGACTACCCGATGTCTACGTAATCATTGGGGATAATAAGTTGCTTCCCTGTTTTTACTTGAATTTAAATCACCGATAAACTCCCAATTTTTTTTTTAACATGTGTACCGATTTTTCCAAAATAAGTAAGACCTTAAAATTTGCACACCTGTAAGATCAGCTAATCCAATTATATGCATATTTTGTGAATACATTAGTCAAAACAGTCAGCAGTTTTGGAAAATAAATTCAGACTTTTGGAAGTGGGGACAATTTATTCTGGGGTCAGTGTGATTACACCAATGGAAACAAGAAGGCAACTCGTTTTCTGAGCTGTGCAGTTTTATAGATTTGTGAAATGAATCACAATGCAGGAAAACCAGCAAGATAGAAAAATACATGTATTGACATAGTGTACATGCACTCACAGGGAGGAAGGTGGGTGGGGCCCATTTGGGGGGGGTCCCCTAGGCTTTGGTCAAGTAGAGAAACTGTGGCACCAGCTGCCGATTTGCTCATGAAATATATGTTTCTGGATCATGTACATGTACATTCAAGTTATATTGCATTTGTTGAAGTGTCTTGATATGCTCAGAGGTTAACCCTGTCCCAAATCCCTGTGGTGGTGTCCCCTGGCACCCCTCACAGCACCCCTTTGATTCACCCAGTCAGCAGTTTTGTTACCTGTGGGCCATCAAGCCCTGTTACTAAAAGTTTAACGACTCTTCCCTTCCTTCCTAAATGTAAACACTGCAAGATGTACATGGTTTCTCACTTCAGAAACCACTTAGCTGACATGCCCCACCCCCCATGATTGAGGTCATGGCTTTTACCATAATACTGTCCACTAGATGACTTTTCCAAGTGCCTTTGCCAGGAAAGTTTAATTTCGTTATAAGGATTAATGGTTGCACTTCCCAGCACATCAAATTTGAAGCACCAAAATGGTGGAGTGTTAACCCACCTCGCCTTGTGCAGACCTTGAACTTCCCTACGCATGCATTGGAACAGCAAGGGTTTTGAAATTTTCCACTGTGACATGCATCTTTGCACCTCTCGTAGAAATGAGAACTTTTTGGAGGAAATAGAACAACATGATTCAATGTGTAAACCTCCAAGGCAATTACCTGTCTGTAGTTCATCTACAGATATGGATTTCGCATCATGCAATAGATCAACCCCCTACACGTACAACGTATGTGTACCTGTAACCTTACCAGACTAGCCTATCAGTTGAACCAGTATCCAAGGCTACAGGAGTCAAATAGTTGTCCAGTGAAAAGAGTCAAACAGCTTTAATGTCAGGTAATAACAATAATAATAAATCGCTTATTATAAAGCGCGATTCACGTAAGGCAGATTAGAGCGTTGTACAATTACAAATTATGTTAAAAGTGTCAACTTCAGCAAAAACCAACTGAGATTTCCCAGTTTCACCTGCATTTTTGGCTTCTTTGTTGCCGACACTACTCTTTGATTGCAGTGAAGGGATTGAATGTATTGCAAGCAAGAATTTGACGGCTATAATCATGATCTAGGCCTACTGGTAGTCAGCAAAGAGCAAGCCAAATTGCTAGGGGTATGAAAAGGCCAGTCTTTTTGCCTTCCAGGTTGATCTGATTGTCTCTGTAAAAGGTAACTGTTTCATTGCTTGGTAAAAAATCTTGACCATTGTAAGAATGTAGCTGAGCTAATTTTAAAATCCAGTTTGGTTTGCAAGTCTTTTTCTTTATATTGTACAAACTGGGCCACCGCAGACCCATTCATAACTCTACAGTTGTTAATAACATGCACTGGGTATTTATCACGTAAAAAAAAAAAAAACCCAACCCACTTTTGGCCACGTGGTTTTATCTTCAAAAACATGCCATCGGCTTCATATCAGTGGAAAAGCCCTTTTGACTTTCATGTCAAACACTGAATGCAGTGCCCTGAAAATGTTGCACTTATGATTAGGTGATCAGGTATTACCCTTATCAACAAACCTTCCACTTCTGGTTTTGTGCTAATCAGACGGATTCAGTCTCCTCAATAGCTAGAGTTTGAGCGTGAAAAGTTGCACTGAATTGGATCCTAATTTGATGGGTTTTCAGGCAGATAGCTAAGGCTGATTACCAGTGCTCCAACCAGTAGGCCTAGAGGCACCTGTCCGGTACATGTAGGTCCTAACTGAGGCACAAGGGGTCCATCTCTTATCTAGACAGACTCCTGGTCCAATTCATCATGCTGGATTCCCACATTCCAAGCTGGTTGATAGCTAATCTGTAAAAATTAGTTTCAAGTCTTCTCAGAACTAAAAATTTCAAGAGAGATGCTAAACCTGCTAACACTTATCTTGTGCATGTTGGCGTTTCTGAAGATGCCCTGGGGTGAAGTTAAGGCGACCAGAAAGTATTTAAGAACCTGCAGTATCAGAACACCAATCTTTTTCTTTTTCTTGTTTTCCCCAACGCTGAGTAAGAAATAAACTTGTTTTCGTGGTCACTTTCATTTTCCTGACTACTCTGAGATGACTAAGGTCAGTGCCTATCACTCATCATGTGCCTGGCTATTTGTCTGGCACTCAGAGGTCATGGCCTCTGATGGTCTCCTCTTCTGCTGTTTCCAAGGATACCGTGCTGAGAAGTTCTTAATCATCCCGCTCAGTCATGATGGACGCAAGAGGAGACAAACCATCATAAATTGTCAAGGATTTGTTGGAGGGCATTTCCTTGAATGTTTAGGTGTCCATGTCCAGCAAAACCAGAGAATATATCTGGGGCAAGAAGGCTTGATTGTGGATCTGGGAGATAGTTAGGGTTTTCCTGTGTTTGGGTTTTGTTTTTGTTTTGTTTATATTTTATTTGCTCAATTGTTCATTGGTTCGTGTTTCCTTCATCCCTATTTGGAAGTGACAGATTTTTTTGGGAAAAGTTATTTTGTTTGAGGAACGTTTAACCCTAACCCCCTAGGGACCGTTGAAATCCTGCATAACCTTGTTGGGTTCAGCGTGGTTAGGGTTAAAGTGCTTAGGTACATCGATCTACATGTAGTACTTATATGGTTACCAAAAACTGGACATTTAAACGTCAATATTAGTAGTTTTATAATTCTTCTTTTTCTTTGCAGGGCTTTTACTACAGGCACCCCTCCTGCCCCAAGATATCACCACTCAGCCGTGGTCTACCATGGAAGCATGTTTATTTTTGGTAATAATTCTTCAGTTTATACTTCCTTTTACAAATTCATCATTTCCTGTTCCCTGTTTATATTGTTTGTCACTTGTCTTCGAAGCATTTGTCATCCAGGAAACTCCCCTCTTTTAAAGTAATTTTAACAATTTGTCAGTTTTATTACCAACAGCCAACAGTACAAGAAATAATTGCTGCTGTAGTTGATTTGGAGAAAATTTGAGATATGTTTTGAAGACCGATTCACTATTTAGAGCCCAATTTGACTTTGAAGAATGAATCAATCTCATTTTGGGTACGGTATGTTTTTGCACCAATACTTGCATTAATTTTCTTGTATTTTAAACCCAGCTCCTTGAGCATTTTCATCAGAAAACACGCTCACTCCTTCCAAATCCAGTACTGCAGAAACTTAATGGAACCTTCTTCATAGAAAGCTCCCCCCTCCCTGTGAATTAACAATGGCAGGGCTTCTGCGTGCATCGACCCGAGTCAATTGAATAACCTCCTATAAACATTGAAATTGTAATAAACTTTGCCCAAGTGCATGCGCCTTTAGGTTCACTGTCCCAGCTGGAAATACTTTCCTGTGGGACCCAACCACATTAGTGCATTTCCATTTCCACACACACACACAAAAAACCATCCCAGATAGACCTACCCCAATCCTGAAAGACAAGCGCATCCCGCTCCATCCCCCTGAGACAAAGCCAGGGAGGGATGCCTCGGAAGGCTGGCAAGTCATCACCTCAGGATGGATAAACGGAAGATAGGTCTAGTGTCATCTTCCCGATCTTGTTCCTGCCCTCTAAGGATACTCATCAGGGCCTGCCTGCCTGCTCTGGCCTAATTATGGACAGTCAGGGGTTGCTTTCTGTAGATGAACGAGACATTTTTGACTTGCGGGTGTCTGACTGTAGTCTCATCTCCAGACTGGGCAAGGTGTCCCCAAGGATTTCCGTGCACATTCAGTGAGGCAGTGCATGTGGGAAGTCATTGCTTGTCTCCATGAGTGTACATGTACATCGAAGGTTGTGCACAACCATTAATTAGCCGACTCGCAACGTTCACCGGGAGATTGTAGAGGATTTTGCCGGATTGAGGAAGACAGAGCTTCCGGGTGGGGAAGCAGGATTGGGCCAAGGGGGCCGTTGGCCTTTGGCCATGGATCGGTCTATTAATGGCTGTTGCCTGATTGCCTCACAACTGTCTCCCCCCCCCTACTTTGAAAATATTTCCGCTGTCGTTTGAGTAGAGCCCAGCTGGTAGTTGCTGGATGCCCCTTGAAATTTTATATTCAAAGAATATGTCTTTGTTTTCCTTGTCAAAGTAAGATCCAGGAAGATTCCCAGCAAAGATTCTTGGGGAGGTGGGGTTAATGGAAGTACCTCCCTCCCTTAGTTATTGTCTATATAATGTACTTTGTTAGTTGATAGAATGATAATACGTACCAGCCAACATGATATTCAGCCTTGAGGCAGTACCCCATTACTACCCCTGTTCATCATGCGGATAACATATTCCCAGACCATCTCATGGACTTCTACCATTACGAATGCATATTTGCATGTACAGCAATGTGCTGGCAAGCTATTTGTGAACTTGCCCAGTGGATGCCCATATGGAAAATCAAATTCTGCTCTAATTGCTACTTTTTTTTGATTTGGTTCAAGATTGCTTTCTTCAGCCCCTGCAGTTGTTCTTCTTTGGAGAAATCACTGCTAAGATTTAAAGATTAAATTTTTATGTCGGGTCTGGAATCTTAAGTGATGCTGGTTCAGCATGTTGATTGGAATGTTAAGTTAGCCGTAGCCCCAATGTTGTGAACAAATGAGAAAAGAAGAATCTCGAAATTTAAATTTGTCCACAAAAATTGTCATGTCTTGATTTGCTATCTGCATGAAACCCCCCCCCAACGTCGGCCTCTCAACCTGCAATCGAACGATTGCTTACTGGGGTTCGTATTTCATACAGTCCACACGTAATCACTCGTCTCTCAGTAGAGCAGACGAGCAGACGAGCAGACGTAGACGAGAGAAAGGGGGGGAAAATGGTAACTCCATGTGGCTGGTTGTGGAATGGAAAACCGTCTGCGAGCCCTGACCTTTGAAGAAGTGAGCTAGAGAGCTATTTGCCGAGCCCTGCTGACAGCTCTAATTTTTCCTAATGGCTGTTTACCTCGGCATCCTTTTGCCCTTTATCAGATTCAAAAGAAAAGAACTCGATGGGGATTTTAAATGGTGATGGAAGTGATAGTGGGGCGGGGCTCCCTCATTTGACTTTATTCCTGCTGTTTTTCTGTTTCAAGAACTTTGCTTTGGACATTAAAGTTGGAAGGTGGGATTGTAAAGGTTGTTGCTCTAGAATCCCAGGCTGTTGGAAGTGTAAAGCTTGTTTAGCTAGATTATGGGCTAGAAATGTTAGATACATAGAATAAATTTGGGGGGAAGATCGTGATCACATCTGTAACAGGCTTGCTATCTGACGTGTAAAAAGCAGCTGTGTTGGCAATTACGCAACTTAAAACTCGGCAATCATGAATAGAATATTCAAATATACTGTTAAAGGTTGCTTCAAATAATATTCATGTTCATCAAAGCGCTTTCTCACAGGTTAATCAAACTGAAGCCAAAATTCCTTCTCAGCTGCTGCCTGGCTGGGCTTGTCAGTGATTCATTTGTCCTTGGGTTGTTGCTTGTCCAGTGGTCAAAGGGTCAAGTTGGGTACAGCAGGGGCAGGCGTGGTAAAGACATTAAGCCTCACAGGGAGCTTTACTTGCAATCATCCTGTGAATATTCGGGAGGCATTCGGAGCAGTTCTCTTGCATGTGGATTGTGGATCACCATCCATTTCTGTCATAGCGGTTATCTTTTAAATCCATCCGGTAGGATTCAAAGGGAATTTTTGTAGAAAATGCACAGTGCAAGACAGCTGCCTTTAACGGGAGATCTTTTGCTGTTCTGTAGTTCAGAAGTGTTCAAATTGAGGGAGAGGTCTTGGGAAAAGGGAAGAACTCCCAGGCCTGAAGTGGAAGGGACATTGTGTTTCAATGCTTAATAATATTCAAACCAAAGAAAATTGATGAAAGTGAGATTCGAACCTGCAACTTCTGGACTACTGCACCTGTATCCTGTCTACTCCTGTTTAATGGTTGTTTCTGTTACTTGTCAATGTTTTGTTCATGAGAGGAAAGGTGTCATGTCAGCAAGCCGCAAAAACAAAGTTGCCCTCCAGAGCTTCAGTCTTTGACCTTTTTCACAAGAAATTTGGGAATTTGAAAAAAAAACCTCCCATAAAAAAATAGCCCACAAGTTCCTTCACCATTCCATGAAAAGTTGTCAATTTGCATCAATCAAATGTAGAACTTGCATACAGCAAACCCCTTGCTCAAAGTTCAGTATACCATTGTTGACTGTCATGATTCGCCGATTTACAAAAGCCCACCAACTCGTTGAAAGGCATATATATTTTAGAGTCGCATCATCTGTATTTTTGCATCCTTTTGGATCAGCACGTTCCCCTAGTTAGCCCACAGGAACTCGCCGCATACTTGATACCCTTGTTTACTCAAGTTAAGCCACATTATGGATGTGGATCGAAGACGCCCTGAAACGAGACGTAATAGAAGACACATTGCATTTCTGTTTTTTGCCACCTGGTTACGCGTACACCTCTCAAATTGATCGCCGGAGTTCTCCCAATCTCCACCTTGACTGTCGAAAACATAAAGATTGATTCCATCCCTGTGAAGGAGTAAAACATTATTTGTCGCTGCATGTTATTATAGCTTCCCCTACCCCTCCCTAATTTCCTGGATATATTTGTCTCCACTTTCAGCGGTTTTTTTTTTAAAGTACCGAAGGTTTAATGGCTTTTGGCTAGCTCCCCCCCTCCTTGAGCAAATATATTGACAGAGGTGGCAGCAAGTCACTTTTTGCAAGTCCAAGTCAAGTCATGATATGCAAGTCCAAGTCAATTCGCAAGTCATTAGGTCCAGTCACAAGCCATTAGGTCACCGGGCAAGTCATTAGGTCCAGTCACAAGTCATTTAGTCACAGGGCAAGTCAAGTCACAAGTCTCTTTGTCCAAGTACAAGTCAAGCTGCACATTATTTTGTCCAGCTGTAATAAGCAAAAAGAACCAGGCGTCAACTTACGAAGTTACGACAGCTGAACACCTTTTCTCCAATTGTTTTGACAATGCGTACCTGTCGTATATTGCACCTCTATCTAATTTGATAAATGTACTTTGCAGGGTGGTTATAAGCATTGAGATGAAATAATGAAATATTGAGGGTGCTGTTTATCCTAGTCACACGTCAACGCAACGTAGCAGCATGATATGCATGCTGCCCTGATCTACACCTGCAGCTGGGTGAAGTAGAAGCTGCCCAACTCGAAGTCCGTTTTTTATGCTCATAAGGTGTAAACTGAATAGCTTAATTCAAAATATATGGGGCCGGTCGAGTAGCGTCTGACTTGGGTTGGTAACAAGTCATTTTTGGCAAGTCCAAGTCAAGTCTCAAATATATAAATGAATTAATTAGAAATTGCCAATCAAACAAACTATGAATAGAAATGTATTGCATTCCATTTGAACCTTGCCATTTGAACCTTGACCTTGGATCCTTCAAATCCACTGGGAAATTTTGAAAGCTACATGCATGTACACATGTATGTAACTCAGTCACAAAATGGGCCATGGGGCCCCTTCAATGCCCCCTTCCAAAAACATTGACCAAGGGGCCCCTTTCATGTCCACCCCTCCAAAAAGAAAATTAATTGTGTACCCCTCCAAGTTCATCAGGCAATTCAGTGATAGTGATTCAGAGCACGTTGGGTTGTTTTTAGTCTTTCTACATAAACAACTAGCACGCCTTGTCCCATGTGACATCACAGTGGCTGCATTCTGTAGATTAGCTCATTAGTGTTTTATGACAGTATAGATATATTGTGGTTTTTATGGAGGTGCTCAAACCAATATATCGTCTTGGTATTAGTTCGTCTATGCGTCATCTCAAGTCATGCATATCTCCCATTACTCACAATGTGGAAATATGGTCTGAGCTCTTCTCCTGGCTCGGATCTCCATATGCCAAGACAAGATCTTGCCTCATAGCTAGTTTTCTAGCAATTTATTGAGTTTCTGTGGAAGGCTGACAAAATCTAGAATTTTTTTTCTCATGTCAGCATGAACCAGTTTCTGCTAAATAAGGGAAATGGTAAAATGATGGTGCTGCTTTCGTTTTGTTTGAGTTCATATCTTGTATTGAAAAATCTTTGAGTGGCTGTAACTTGGCTGCCTCGGGTCTGTTGCCATGGAGCCAGAGCCAGACTGTTTGTGATATTCATTGCATTATGAAATGGCTGTAATGCGCAAGAAATTGCGGGCATTCCTTGTCATTAAGAGAAAAAAATGGGTAGTTTGTAATAACTTGCTGGGGATTGGAATGGATGAGGAGTGTAGCGTATAGAAACCAGCTTTCTAGGCAAAATTCCCGAAGATCTTTGGAAACTTTTTTCCATGGGCAGAAAGTTCTTGGAGAATGTTGGTCAGTACAAAAAGGACAATTGCATGATTTGTATAGTGATTTTCAGCCCTTGGGTTATCAGCTCATCTGAACAGCAGTGACACCTCACACATGACACCCTACATACCACCATGACGATTGACGGTCAAAGCCAGGGACCAGTGAAGTCTGCCCTCAGCAGGGCAGGATGTGCTTGAAGCAGATGCAGGACACCAGATAACTAACCCCTTTTGCCTGCTGCAAGGCGTTTGGCCCTTTGTAGTTATCCCACAGCACAACAGTTTTAACATCTTCCTCCTTTGTGACAGGCATTTGGATTGTCTCATGAGGGTGACTTGTTGCCGCAGAAGACTACCAACATCTGTCTGTACTGTTTCATGAAAATACAGCTTTTCTCTCTGTGTGACTTTGTTACTTCCCATACGTTTAGTAAATAGGAGATCTGAGCAGTGCAGATCTCGGAGAGGGTTTATTGGCCCAAATATGGAACAGTGACGTGCCTCGTTTACCCAACCTACTTCCTGTCAAAAACAAACTACAAACAAATACCCACTCCTGTTATCAGAGTAAAAATTTGAAGAATGACTAACTTTGTTAACAACTACTTCAAATCTCCGAATTGCAAATTGCATTTCAAAAGTTTCACAACTCTGATTGTAAACAATTGTTTTCCCTTTCGAAAATTCCTGTACTCTGGAACCCAGTGACTACAATTTAGAAATAGTTATTGCAGCAGTGTCACACCCACGTGTATGTTGCACGCACTCTTAAAAACGAGTACGCACAGAAAATAACTGTCGTCGGATTGGTCTATATTAAAGCTAAGATTTACACCTGTTCAATGACAAAGCATAACCCTCTTGTTTTGTGTGTTATTGTTTGCTTACAGGTGGGTATACTGGTGACATCTACTCAAACTCCAACCTGCAGAATAAGAACGATTTGTTTGAGTACAAACTCTCCAATGGACAGTGGGTGGAGTGGAAGTTTGAAGGAAGGTAATCAAGGAACATTGACCAGCCCGTGGTGACCACTCATATCGTTGCTTGATATAGAGACGTGTATGAAAAACTGTATTGCAACATTTAGACCTAAAGGTCAGTTGGGGAGTCAGGTTGGCGTAGTGGCTCTTTTCTTGCATTCCGCCTCTGCCACTCAGGTTCGAATCCCACCTAGGTTGGCATGTGGAGTGGGTTTTTAGTCCCTGCCTGATTCCATGGTTTTTCCTGAAATAGATTTATTTGGGGTTTTCTCACCACCTCCGAAGTTGAACATTTTCGTCATTATCTTCTTCGTTGTGAGGACCCAAACAATTGGCTTTTGTGGGATGGTTACCCTAATTGAAAATGGTAATTAGTGAACTCATAAATAAATTTCAAATACTATTTAAAGGAAACTTACATAGAGGAATGGGTGTCCTACTTAAAATACTGTGCTTTTTATCTAGGGCACCTAGCTACTGTTTGACACTGAAGTCATAAGAAAAGTTAAAGCCAGATTTTTTTTGTAACGGGAGAGTGCTGGTTTAAAAATCATTTATTAACTCATGATTTTTAAACTCAGACTTTTAAGAATACTTATATAAAGATGACGCATGCATGTACACTTTTTGATTTTAAAATCTAGCTTTTCAGTCCAAGCGCACTGATGTGGTTTGCTGTAAGCGGTCACTGTTCAAAGTAGGAAAAACATATTATGTCCCACTCAACTGAATTTCGTGAGCAATAATATTGGACCGTCCATTTCCTTCCCTGGAAGTGGCATTATTCAAAGCATCCGTCCTACTACTGTAAGAATCCAGGCGTGTTTAAAATTCTGACCCAACATGGGTCTGTGGGGTCAGTTCTTGGCGCATTCTAAGTAAGGGTTCTAACAAGCACGTCCTCCTAATTTGTAGTTATTGCTGCCAGGCCTGTGGGCCCGTGGGCTTCACAAATTGGATCAAGACGGGGGGGCTGTAAATAACGACCATGTGACTACCAAAAAAAAGCTTGGAAGCAAGCAGACGGACACCGCTGACAAATCCACGCCAGGATTAATTTGCAGTTAAACTGAAAAGTAGGCAGAGCTTACACTGGTAGGAGGGGGTCCTGCATGATTTCTCACACTCCCGTGTTTCTTTCAGTTGCTTTTTCATATTTCTCTCAAGCCGCAGTCCTAATTGCTTCTTGTAATGGCTTCCTGTGAGCTTGCAGTATTTTCTGCTAGCCACCGTCAAACTGATTGGGAAGAAGAATTTCCTCTTCTTCCTCTAACTTGGGGCCAATTGTCAGGTGTAACGAAGGGCCATGGGGTGCACCTTTTTTTTTTACGCTGTCCAGTCCACTAGGTGATTCTAAATTTAATTTCCAGCCATAAAAAAAAATAGGTATCCTGAAGATTACCAGTTACGTGTTTTCAATGTATAAAACTAATTTTTATTTTAGAAAAGATAGTGTGGCATGCATGTATCATATGTAGGATAAACTGACTAGGCAGCGTCGCTGTGGTAGCACCACACTCCACGTCATTGTCCTTAAAATATGACAAATTTCAATCCAAAAAGGCATTGGATGTTCCTTCCATCTGCATGCGAGTGTGGTATTACCGCAGTAATGACTTTTACATGTGATTCCAATGCCTTTTACATGTGATTCCGGTTACCAGATCATCCCACAGTGGGCCTTGGATGAGCAGACTAGACACTTACTCATGTCGTACACGTATGAGGGCTTGCACTTTCTGAAATTTCATTGGTTGCCGTGCATTAAGGTATTTCTTCCTGTCTTCCATTACATGTAGTGTCAGGTAATTGCGAATCTGGCAATAAGTACCAACTTGGTTATTCAACATTTATTTCAACATTACCCTTCAAAGACACATAGGTAGTGCATCGCTATACTTAAAGACAAAAATGCACGTATTTAGATTAAAAAATGCATTGAAACAATTAAACTATTACGCAGGACAAATAATATTCACACTTGAGCACAAAAACAGAGGGCAACATCTAGGTACGTGGGTGAAGCTAAAAGCTTTGTACCCCGACCTGGGACCGACAAGGACTATACAAACATTAGATATGCAGGAATGAGACAAGACTCAATCATGGCTGAATCCATCTGTCTGATTGGTACAGTGTATAATAATTAAGTGGCATCATAAATTTCCAAATATGTAGTAAGTATTGTCATTTTCAGTTTCTTGGCAAATGCAGGCAGAGTTGGCAATGATTTTAGAGCGTCATTCAGTTTGTTCACATTTATAAGACAGACCTTTGCAGTAGCACGATGTAAATCTCTTTCTTGAGTGAGTGAAGTTCTGAAAACAGCTGGTGTGAGGAGTGTTTCAGGTACTATGCCGCGTCCATTGTAGGGAAAATGCTCTCTCCTGACGATGGACAGTGCATACACTCTGAAATGTTGAGCCCACAAGTTTTCTTGAAATATGGAACCAAGTTACAGATCAGACAAAAATGATGACCAGTTGGCCCTCGTCTGTCTTCTCAAACAATATCAATGGTCGAGTTCGGGAGGCCTGTTCTTGACACGGGTTTCTTGTTTTTGCACTCAAATGGCGGGAACACAACTCAAGAACACTGTTCTCGGAACAGGATCACACACCACCTCCTCGTCGAGGTTTTACAGGAACATGGAAAAACTCGTGACATTTTTATTTTGAACAGCTGCAAAAAGTAGAGAGATGGCTTCCGAAGTCCGAGGCAATGGGAAAATTTGCCAAATTAACATTAATTATTTCTATAACACAGAAATGAATGTTCCTGTTTAAATAGAAAAGAATTCAGCCCATCCAAACATTAACTCTCGAATAACGTACATAGACGCCGCCATGTTGCATATTGCTTGCCCCACTGACTACCAGCAATTATAACCAGTTGTTTGTTCCCCGCGTTCGTGAGGCCGACCCACGATCACCAAATCGAGCTGTTCGTTAACATACGAGAACGAGCCACCCAAACTCAGCCCATGTGTTCCTGTAACAGTCAACCCTTAATTCCTTGATGACAATGACAGGTTCGTGAATACGGACTTTTGGCTTGCACCAAGTTGGTCTCGTTAATTCATACGTTGGAAAACAGGTGATCCCTTCCCTCAAGTCTGCACCCGCCTAGTTTCTTCATCCACCTGTGCTGTATATACATCTTCTTCACAGCTATCTTCTCCACACCACCTGTTTACTCTAACCCCTCCCCCTCCAACAAACATGTCAGATTCAATACAGAGATCCATTCCTAGAGTTTAGGCTTGCCCTGCCAAATGGTCTGCCGTTGAAACGTCACATGCACCAGTTTGCGTGCTAGTGGTCCAGGTTTTTTTAGTACCTTCCTTCCCCAACAGACATGTTTGACCACCAGAACAAATTAGACGCAACTGAGTCAGAGAGAAATTATGAAATATGACCAGAAAATGGATAAATCTTGAGATTTTCACTCCGCAGTAATCGTTAGCCTGCATGAATATTGATTGAAAGGAACTGTGAGTTACTTGACACCGGTGAAGTTTAATGGGTACTTAGTCAATTGCATGCTTGCCTTCAGGAAGGTTGTTGTTACAGCATCTTTCCACGGGGAAGCAAAACATGCAGCAGCAAACTGACGAACAATAAACACTGCAAAGGTTCCACTTCCAAAGTATCATAGCCTCTCCTTTTTTCGCTTCCCCTTTCTTATTCCCTTTATGGAGTGACCCCTGGTCAACTGTTGACAACTGTGAACTGTTTTCAGTTTTTCAGATTTGGCATTCTTGACCACATTTTTCTGGAACACGACAACGTAACGTTTTCATTACTTTGAATGTTAAACAGATTTACAGCAAGCACACACTTTGCACTCATGAAACACAGCCACATGACTTCTAGTCCATTCTCTGGAAAAATTACATTTTGCACTTTAGTTATCTTCGGTGAAATTTCTTTTAGGTTATTTACATGAGAAAAGAAAAAAAGTAATTGATTGTTCGAATGCCTCAAAGTGATCAATGGCTTCTCAGAATAACTTGTACATGTGATGTAGGATATTGGATTGTGATTACTTTCTGTGATGGCTTCTTGAGTAAATCTGTCAGTTCCCTTTAATTCAGGGTCGGCAGTTAAAAACTAGCAATGAGCAGCCCTCATAAATCGGCATATTTTTGTCTTTTTACCACTTGAGGGAAATAATGCATGTAGAGCCTTCAGAGGCATGGCCAAGAGGTGGGGGGGGACGCATGCCCCCATGAAAAATCATAGCCTCCCATCGCTCCCTACTGGGAATTTGGGGAAAAAAAGTAATAGGATTATTAAGAAAGTGCTGGGGCTTGTGCCCCCCCTACCGTAACAGCCAGCTTCCCAATGGCCTCCCTCCCTACAGTGAGAACCTCGGCTTCATAACTGAAATCCTGTGTAGAGAGCACTGATCCAGTTGTCAGTCCCAGTTGTTGCCAAATGGCAATTTTTTATAAATCTAACTCGTCCATAATCCTGAACACATGAGAAGAAAATATGTACATGCATTTGACACTAGATTATGTGCATCAGCATTGCAAGAAACTTTAGCTGCTGTTTAAAGGATCCAGGAGATGAATTTTTCTTAGAATCACTTTTTGTGTATCTCTGTACTCTTTGTCCACATTTGAAGACTGTTTGACATCTTTTTTGAGTTACGTGATCTGAACGGTGCACTTTTTCAAACATTAAGAATTGACCAAGCATTTCTGGACAAGTGAGGGCGCTTTCGCTTTGATGTAAATCCAGGAAGACATGGTTCAGGTTGCATATTTTTATTTCAAGTCGTGAACCCCAAATTTGCTATGTGGGAACATTTCTGTGAAAAGGATTTTTGCTGGATTATTGCAATATACTTACACAGCAATAAATAACCAAAGAAAATGAAATCTGGCATGGCACTGGTTAAAAAAATCTAGAAGTTTTCTGTGCACAGATCAGCGCATGCAACACTGAGATTCAGTACCTTAGATGACATAGTTCTGCTCATGAATATGCAAATAGCATTAGCATAAAAACAAAAATGCATCAAAATATGGGTTAAAATTGCAAAACAAAAATTTAAAATAAAGTTAACTGAAACCCAAAGATGCAATTTCAAAGGGTTTTAGTAACATTTATAAAAATATTTCTATATCCTGGTTCCTTAAAAATTTGCCAGCTGCTATTTACATGTAACTTTAACACTCAACATTGACAAATCAAGCAACTGCAATAAAGATGAATATCTCCTTGGAGAAATGCCCAGCCTGTATGCCAGAGGTCACAAATCAAATCCAGTCCAGTCTTTGTCAGACTTCAAACTGATCACCAAATGAAACTTTGCAAAGTTACCTGTGTGGTTTATTTTGTCATTTTTATCTTCAATTTCCCAGACTTCCCCCTGCCAGATCTGCCCATGGAGCAGCCATTTACGATGGGAAGTTGTGGATTTTTGCCGGCTATGATGGAAATGCCAGGTAAAAGTCTTCATACTTGTCAAAGTTTACATTAGTGGTGTGGTCTATTTGGCAGTGTTCCAGCAGCAACCTTTTTTTACAAGTATTGAAGAAGGATAAAAAGGAGCAGCTGGGACATTTTGACAAGAAACCTTGGAAACATTTTCAAAACCACAATAAAAAAGTCTTGAGTTTGAATATTGCATTGGTGTTTTCAAATTTCATGACTTTGTTCTTTTGAGTGACAACATTGTGCCAAAAAAGGTAAAAATACTAGTTTGGGTTTAATGCAAAGATTGTTGACAGATAAACAAGTTTAGTTTCTTTCTTTTCTTAAAATGTTTACAACTTCAGGTTTTTCAGATATAAAGATAGTAAAAAGTTGTGCAGATCTAGAGTGATTAGAAAGATTATGTGTTTGAAGGTTAGATTGCCTGATGGTTTTGATCCTAACAAAACCTTTCTGCTTTTTTTGTAGAACACCGCTAGGATGGAAATGTCATGACATTAAACTTTCAATCTGTGTCTGTCAGATTTGTTGGGAAGGAGTTCATTTGAAAAATATTTGATTGGAAGGAAATGTTGAAGTTTTTGCTTGTATGGGATGCAAACGACAACAGTTTGTCAAAAAAAAATCATCCACTTCTACATTCTGTCAGATCCTTGGAATGTTTTGTGGGCAAAATGTAGACGGCATGACCTAACTCAATTTTTGTCCCCCATAACTGCATACCGGTACATTATACATGCATGTATTCTTCTGGTCATTACCTTGGTGCCATATATGCCCCCCTCAAATAAATGATAGCATCATAAAGTTATGTACTTACCGTTAGGTAGTATTGGGTACTATGACTTTTGTAAGATGAGATATGGATGATTATTGAGTTACCATCTTTAAAAAATTTTGTTTGTTTGTTTGTTTGCATGTTTGTTTTCAGGTTGAATGACATGTGGTGCGTTTCCCTGAATGGCGACTCCAGAAGCTGGGAAGAGGTTGGTTGATCAGTTCTGTCCCTCACCATTTGTTTGAATTTTTTTTAGTGACTTAAACATTAAAACTGACACCTTGTTAAAGCTTGTCTTCACTCAGCGTCACAAAGCTCAACTCAGCAGGGGACCAGTCCAGCAATACACCTGAGTTATCAATTTGGCCGGTAACTCGTTTATTGTTTTTTACTTTTTTAAATAATTTAAATGACACTGCCCAAACTTGGCAAAATTGTACGTTCAGGAGCTTTGTGTAACAGCTATACTTTGAAATATGAAAAGAGGTTGAATACTTTTAATCACACACAACTAGTAAGGACTTATACACAGTGCCTAATAGGAGAAATCAAACATGTAGGTTTTGATCGGGCCGGCATTGAGTTGGTAGAGGGCATTGAGGGCATTGAGTTGGTAGAGCCCATTGAGCTTTAAATTGGTACAAGTTAGGTACAGGTACTTGCAGTTAGTGGGTGAATTCTTGCACTTTGTTTTAGGTCCCTGAGGTATTTGGAAGTTGACTCAACTGTTTTTCCTGAGGAAGTTGAGAAACCAGTTGAGAGCCATTAGGTGCAGGTCTCAACCGCAATTGTTTGGGTTGGGGACTTGACTCAAAGGAAACCTTTAAAAGTCATCCACATATACACGTAAATGTCATTTTTCAAAAAAAGAAAGCAATTCCCAGTGTTACAAAGGTTGGCAAAAGCTTGGCCACAGATTAGAAAATTTTCTTTTAAATGAAGTAACACTGAAATGGACACTCACTGAGTGGTGCTCAATGCAAGAATGTACATTGCTTTTGAAAACAGGATACCAGGCAAAAATTTTGTTGAATGTAGATTGCTTTGACTGGTCCCCTATTTCACCGAAAGTTGCTAAGTGCCAACAATACTTGCTCAGCAAAGACAGGTCACCAACCAAGCATCTTGCAGCATATTCTTGTATCGTCTGGCTGGCTCTCAACTGATTGTTGCTGATGACATGAATGTGTATACTCTTCTGAGTGCTCAGGCCAGGATTTCGGCAGCAATTTACCTGCTGAGCAGCTAAATATTGCCTTGTTACCTTTTCTGCTTTTCTGGCAAAGTGCTGTCTTGTGACAAAGGGCTTGGTTGTATTTGTTGTGATGTGGAAATCGAAACCATTGATTTACATGTAATTTATCGTCTTCCTTGTATCTCTACCAATTGAAATCCTTCTTGACATATTAACCAGACGTCTGTTTTGTTCTCCTATTTTGCATCATGGTGGTATCTTTTTGGATGATTACCTCTGCCAAGACCAGGTTAACTGTGGACCAAATTCTGGACTTGGTCTCAACTCTCTGTGACTGAGTCCAGCTCCCTATTAAGTCATTGCCATCACTTCAAATTACCACCGCAAGAAGCCCAGTGATTGAATCTGCTAAAGCCAGGAAATCAGAAACATTGTGTTCAGCTTGTTGACATCATGGCTATTGGTTCCCCCAGGCCCATGGCTGGGGAGCAAACCGGGTGTATTCCCTCAGGACATCCGTAAAGAGATTTCTTTCAAAGGCGGGAAATTTGCATTTAAGGTTTTGAACCGGACAAAAATTGTCAAGTGAGGCATTTTTTTTTCTTTTTTGGCCAATTGGTTGATGAGTCAGGTCCTCACCAATGTACGTGGAATGCTCACAAGAGGAAACAATTTTGCCAGGTCGATGACCGAGAATGATATCAGCTGGGAAATTGGGCGGAAAGTTGGCAACTTTGGAGGATGTCATCTCACTTCACACTTGTCTAAATATGTGTCATTTTTAGAGTGACACAGTGTAGCACTTTTTGTCAAGCCCATCACAGATCCTGTCTAAGGACCAGCCACAAGTAACAGGGTGAGCAATGACAAAGGAATGCTTTTGTTGCAGTTCAGGTGAACCACTTGTGATCTGGGGACTGTGGATTCAAGCAGATCCATATTCTGATCAGTGATCCAAGTTCGGTCTACTGAAACTGGTCACCGGTGTCCACCTAGTGGTTAGCACGAACCAACTTTGGGTTTGCTGATCGCGATCCAGATTGGTGTGAAACAAAGACCCTTGGCTGTAGACTGGATGACTCGGATGGACTCTTCTGCAACACTGTTTATGGAAGGAACTTCAAGGGTGCAGCCAGCTGCAGAATTCTCTCTTGCCTTGGTACCATTCACACTAACTCTTAAATGTTGAATTGTTGGTGTTGGACATATCAGAAGTATACAAACTGTTATACAATTTCTTTAGATTTGAAACACTGATATGCAGTAAAATGCATACACAACTCCTCAGCTACTCGTTTGCAATGAGCCTTGAACTGTACCCAGAGAGGGCACAACTTTCTCGGCAATGGAGGCTCCTTAAGTCAGAACTGAACTTCGTTGGTTCACAAATTTCTAGAAAATGCATGTTACGATTGCATTGCTATCAACAAATGAACACTCCCCACCAACGTGGCTCTTTTCAACTGATGTGGGGGTGCTTCTGCGCGAGGTGGATATGTGCATCAGGGCTGTGTGGTCCTACCAAGCGGATGCTGATGAGGCAAAGAGTGGATTGGTAATCTAGTCAAATACTGCTGAATGTCCTCTCCCCTTGAGTACTTGTAGTTTATTGAACTTGACATCTGCTTGGGCATTCCTGACAGGATTTGAACAATTTTTTTGCTCCTCGTCCGCATTCAAACACGAATTTCCTGGCTCTGTCTGAACTTGATTATCAGTGGCTAAGTAACAGGGTCTGCTCTTGTGATGTCACACTTGTGTTTTCCCTACGAGTGGATGCTAACACTGTGGCTGGCCATCAGTACAAAAGTAAAAGAGTAACTCACAAAGTGTCAAAAATCCCACGCAGCTATCAGAATATCAGATAACTAATTCACCTACTACTAAATGAAAATACAACCCTCCTTAAAATTAATGGGACATAGGTCCATTTTGAACAAATTGGAGGTAAAATTTAAAACCGACCAGAAGGTCATATTTCTGCAAACTTTGGCTACCCATACAAGATGTAGGCAAAATGAAAATGGTCTGTTAAGATTATAGTCTGAATTTTGTGTCATAAGCAATTGATAAGGATGCATGTTCAAAGGTCAGTGCAGTTTTCCCATGACTTCTAACAATCAAGTATTGAATGGACTAAAAATAAAAACATTTCTCCCGAGTAACTATGATGCCTTCCCAATTTATCCCTCTTGTTTCGTTTGGACGTATCTTAACTTGCAGAAAATCAGAACAGCATGTGAATGTAATCTTTTGGAAAAAAAGTCCGGAACTGAGAACGGGCGTTGTACTCTTCCCCAAGGAAAGACTTTCAGCCCAGCGGAGTCGTGCCTTATACTGATTTGCTCCTGGGAATTTCCTCAGTATTTTGCCAAGTAATGTAATGAGACATTAAAGTCAATGGTCAGTGAGTCCAGATTTTGCTTTTGGTTTTTAAAGAGCAGAACTGTTTAACATCCTTCGGTACCCTCTCGACAAGTTGGTACCCCCCCTCCCTTTTTTATCAAGTCTTGATGCTTTATGCTCCCATCAGCACCGTCTGTTTGCCTCTAGATCTACAGTTCCGGCATGGCTTCTAAGCTATCCCACAATGCAGCACAGCATCAGGAATTTTAGATCTGCTTTACCGGACAATAGATCTAATAGACTCACAGTCTGTGCCTGTCAGTTGCGGTTGTTATTCAAGTTTGACACATCTTCCTCATAATGCACCACCACTGACCTCTAGGATCCCCTCCAGGACATCCTTGTCAGTTTGCTTCTGTTCTCTGTATTTTTTGCCAGTTCTGAATCCAGGCTTTATGTTCTTGGCCGTTGACATGTTTTCGTTTGACCCAATTAGGATGCCACAACTCTTAATTAACTGAAGCTTACCCCCTTTTTCCGTTGATGGGGAGATAGGGAGGCAGTGAAGGGAGTGCAGAAACTTGCTGAGTGACGTGCTTGGGCAGATCTGCCAGTCACTTAAAAAGGTGACTTTGATGAGGTCATTCGTTCAGAGATATGTCTAAAACACAATAAAAAGAGGTCCGGGATTAGCTGCAATTTACCAGTTCAATTCCATCAGCTGCTGTGAGCGTGAGCCTCCGGGGTCGTCCAGTATTGCTCCCCTGGAACCCAATTCCTCAGAGGCCTCAGGAAATCAAAGCAGACGTTGGTGATCCCCCCTTGAGGGGACCCCCTCCTCTTGGCTGATATATTGCTGTAACCTGTGTGACCCAGGGACGTGGTTCTCAACAGGACTGCAGGCAATGAGAGAGGAAAAGGGAAATAAGACAATGAGGGCGTGAAGTATGAGAAGTTGTAAACGATGGAGAGACGTTTGGATGAGGGGGGGGAGTTGTTGGTCTAGATGAAAATTCTCCGTCCCTGGATTTTGTCTGAGAAGCACATTTATATAGACCTGGATGTTAACTTCCGCAATCGGGGTTCAAGACGGAGTCAACTTGAAAAGTCGCGGAAATCCAACTCTCTCCCTGGAACTGGGCATGTTTTAAGGGATTAATTTCTGGGAGAAATGTGGAAAGCTGCACGGAAGTGCTTGTAGCTTGTTACTGTAGAAGAGGATGGAGATAGATGCTGCTTTGTGAAGTTGACAAGACTGGTACCGGTACCTTATCAGAGGAGAGAGTCAAGAGCATTAAAAGGAGATTGTTGTCTGTGCTGAATCGTGCACTGCCTTATATGTTCTTTATTCCTTGAATTCTAGAAAAACAGATTTTTTTCTTCCCTCAAATACCAATCTTTGAAATGGGGTGTGGAGAATTTTCTTTAAGTCTCGGGTAGATTGGCGAAACTGAAAGAATACCACGCACACGTTTCCCTTCCTCAACACTGCTTGCTCTCTGCTTTGTCACATTCTAATGAGGCTCGGGTTAGTCACACAACTAATTTCCGTGCCTGCACCCCAGGTGCACCCCTCATGTGCCCCAGGTTGAACCTATTCTTGAGGGGACTGTGTGGCTCAAGCCTCACACCCTATGGTGTGACTTTTTGGCACTTTTCACCGATGG